GTATATATATATATATATATATATATATTATACACACACACATATACACACACGCACACAAAGAAAAACAAGTAGATAGAACAGAAAAAATAGAAAGCTAGTGTTTTTGTTTTTTGTTGTTTTTTTAAATAAAAAATGTTGCAGAACGCAAGCTTCTAGAGGGCACATAACTCTGAAGTAATGTGATATGTTCATATGTTCATATCAGATGTTAAATCGATGTTTAAAAAATGTTTTGAAAATGTTTATGATTTAGAATGTATGTAAATCTGCATTTTCTAAGATGTTTATCAGATGTTTTTACACAGCAGAGGTTTCCCAGATCAAGAGCTCTTTAGCAGACATCTTAAAGATGTACCTGTGCAATCTGTGTAATAACGTTCTGTAATAGTATTTTATTTTTATTTATTTAATGATTAAGTTTAATTACTTTTAATAATTTAGTTATATTTGTGCAAACATACCAGACATAGGTCAAAACATTGACAAATTTGGCTGAATTATAAAAGCCAGAAGTGGTATTAAATAAAGAGATGTTTGGGAGCCGAAAGAGCCAGTTCTTTTTGCTGAGCTAAGCCAAATGATCCGGATCCCTAAAAAGAGCCAGAATTCCCATCACTAGACTGAAAACTATGAGAGAGAGAGAGATAGAGAGACTTTTCCAGCTAATACTGGAAAAGTTTCTGTTTAATTTCCTTGTCATCCATTTATTTTGCATACACTTTTTAACCATAGACCGCAAGGCTATGGTTAAAGTGGATTTGTTACAAGTGTGAATAAATAAACATTATGTTATATCAGTTTGTAAAAATACACTTTATAAACTATGTATACACACTTATTTTGCCACTCTTCCCCAGACCATAGGCTATTAGTATATTCTGGTAATGTTGATTGGATGGACCAGCACCAGCCTGGACTGTCCTTGGCCCTGGTTTAACTATAGGCACATTTGGCACATTTTCTAATATGATAAAAATTTAAATCTGATTTAATAATAATTAACTCCTGCTGGGACGTAGAGTGTCCAAAGATGAAGAAACACCCAGCTATATATTTTCAACTCAACCTAGGCTAATCAACTCGTTGTTTAATGAACTGTTGTATAAAATCAATATCACATATTCAGTTGACAGCAATCATGCTGTTCTGTATATATCAGCACATCTGCGGCCACCTGCGGCTTCGTGACCATATTACAGTCGTGCTGATATTCAGACCAGCATTCTTTGGTCATATGACACTGGTACGTTTACAGGCTATGTTTGTGACTGACAGGATAATGTTGCAGCTCTCAGCATTCTTCAACTCCGTAGTAACACTTTCACATTGTTGTTAAGCAACTCTTCAGGTAAATCTTGATTCCCAGCTTCGAGAATGAAAGAGTGATCAGTGAAACCTGGCTTCTTGACAATCAATTAGCTTTGGCTGACAAGAAAGACGTGCAAAGACAAAAGATACTCTCTTTATTTCCAAAGATGCCAAAACCCTCTGATGTGATGATAACCGTGCCAGTATACCAGCAACAGCAGTATGATGTCTCCAGGTTCCTGATAACCAAGCCACTGGCTTTGGGGGTAAAAACACACTGTTCCGCATCAAGAGAAGTATTCAGTGAGTATGAAGAAACAGGCACTATATCTTATGTTTTTTGTCTCACAGATTTTGGAAATATTTTTAGCCTTATTGGGACTCTGTTTGACAATCTGGAATGAGAGTTTTTTTCTTCTCTGGTCACCAATCAGTGTAAGTCAATCATTTCAACATCAGTACAACATTATACAGTGAACAAATACTGAATTCTGTTCCGTTTCTGTTCTACAGTTCACTTTAACTGCAGTTATTACAGTCTTGGCAGCAAGCACATGTAAACCATGTCTGGTTAGTGTCAATTTTAAAAAACTTGTAATCATTTTAGATAAGGGGAATTTCATGGGTTTTATTTCAAACCAGATCTTCTGTACTATAGGTCAAATCCTCACAAATGCTCAGCTATCTAAATGCGGCAGCAGCTGCTCTGTCTCTCCGCTTTCACTTTTATTACATTTGGGTAAGTGGTTGCTGTAAAGCTCACACATGTACAAGATACATATGTCTAGATTAAAATGATTTCTTGTTTTACCAGACTTAGATGAAAATGCTTATATGTTGTGATGCTGATAGTCTACAACAATGTGACATAGCCCATCCTCTACCCTGTTTAGATCTGGCAACCGGTTTTTGATTCATATTCCTATTTTAGTTCATAATCACTTTATTTACTTCTATTATTTAATCAGGGTGTGTCCTGCTTTCTCCTTCTGGCCTGTGATACTCTCATCTTCATCTTCTCTGTTCCTGTTGCTTTAACCTCCTGTTCCTGTTGCTGCAGACCAAAGGTAAACATCAACAAGATCTTTCTCATCTTGAAAAAATGAATCAGATAGATGTGTAACAAATATAATGTTGGTCCTCTCTCAGTCAAGACATGTTGAGGTCAGTTATATGAACGCAGATTTGCCTGTCAACCATATTGTGCTAATGGGCCAGCCGGACTCCTCTGCAGTGGTACAGTCCGTTAGTTCAGTCATGTACATGCTGCCAGCAGCACATGGCTTAGTCCCACCTGCGCCTCTGCCAAATTACAGTCCAGTACCAACTCTACCTCCACCAGCCTACGACCAGGTCTCAGCTGCACCTCCACCAAACTACGGTCCAGTCCCAAGTGCACCTCCACCAGCATATGAGGTAATTATGAGCATTTTTGAGTAACTGTAGGAAATCTATTTATAATTTATAATGGTTCATACAAATGAAAATCCTATAAATAATCTCCATATGCAATCATATTTGCTTGCTAACCTGCTGTACTGCACAGCTCTAATATACTGTGTTCTGTTATTGCAGTATGAAGATTTACAGACCAGAAGATGAACTAAATCTCAGACACAAATAGGGATATTTGATGTTTACACGATGGATTATATGAATATATATATATATTAGGGGTGCTCCGATCAGGGTTTTTGAGGCCGATCACAGAAAGCAGTATCTGCCGATACCGATCACCGACACCGATCTTTTAATGCCTTCTTTTATCATTTATAACTATTTATATTGATACTCCAATCAGGATTTTAGACATTTATTCAGGGCCTGAATTTCATTTTTGAAAATGGGGGGAATTTTCAAGGTGACTCTAGTGAGAGGAAAAGCAGCTTTCACACAGGAGTCCACTACTGATCCGTGGCTGTTTACCACAAACACAACATTTATCCATTATTTTGATTTCAAATCCAAACACTGTCACTGAAAATGCTTTTTCAGCATTGCAACTCTTTTTTTTACACAGTACAGTAATACAATTTTTCACAGATATGTTTAAACACAATAAATAAGCAACATATTATTCAATGCTTTTTACTTTTGCATTTACTTCTAGATTTATATATTAAGTTGCTCAAGCAAGTGGCAAAACATTTAAACTACTTTTCTTACGTTATCACAAACTTACCATTGACAGAAATAGTCAGCTCTACTGCCTTTCCTTTTGCATTGAAATCTTTATTACAAGCAATCCTGCGGTTCATAAAGAACTATGTTTTACTACCTCCACGAGTGCCATCTATTATTGCCATTTTATCTAAAAGTGCTCTTTCCCTTTTGTTATATTCTTGTGTCCTTTATCTGTTGTCCGAATGGTGCGTGTCTAATTTCTATGTCTAATAAACACACTGTGAGACCGTGAGCCACGAGCTGCTTCTTTTACTGACTCTCGTTCATTTTTACATTACACCAATACATCGCTCAGGCATCACATGCTTTAGCCTCAGATTTTAATTTTTGGAAAAATCAGTGGGGAGACAATATATGGATGTCTTATGGAAACAGTAAATCAGCGGGTGTTGCTATATTAAAGGGCTCCTTTCAGGGGGAAATCCTACAAAATTTAATTCATGACTCAGGAAGATGGATAATTTTAGTTGTTGAATTTATGGAGGATATTTTTATTTTAGGTAATATATATGGTCATAATAACAGCCAAAGAAACACTTCTTTTTGCTGAATTTGAAGAAAAAATAAATGCCTTATTAAATTCTTTTGTTAATGCTAAACTAATATTTGGGGGTGATTGGAACTGCATAAATTACCCTATTAAAGACTGTCATCCTCAAAGATCCTTAAGAGGCATTTATGGAGAATTTAATAATCTCTTGTTTGCACTTAAACTGTTGTGATGTGTGGAGACTAAAAAATCCACATCAAAAGCTCACTTGGAACAACAAAGATTTATCTAAGAGGTCCAGGATTGATTTTTGGCTTATTTCAAATGATTTATTAGATAGTGTGGAAGAAACAAAAATAGAACCCTCGGATTTTTCTGATCATAATATGATCATCTTTCCCTTTTGTTATATTCTTGTGTCCTTTATCTGTTGTCCGAATGGTGCGTGTCTAATTTCTATGTCTAATAAACACACTGTGAGACCGTGAGCCACGAGCTGCTTCTTTTACTGACTCTCGTTCATTTTTACATTACACCAATACATCGCTCAGGCATCACATGCTTTAGCCTCAGATTTTAATTTCTGGAAAAATCAGTGGGGAGACAATATATGGATGTCTTATGGAAACAGTAAATCAGCGGGTGTTGCTATATTAAAGGGCTCCTTTCAGGGGGAAATCCTACAAAATTTAATTCATGACTCAGGAAGATGGATAATTTTAGTTGTTGAATTTATGGAGGATATTTTTATTTTAGGTAATATATATGGTCATAATAACAGCCAAAGAAACACACTTCTTTTTGCTGAATTTGAAGAAAAAATAAATGCCTTATTAAATTCTTTTGTTAATGCTAAACTAATATTTGGGGGTGATTGGAACTGCATAAATTACCCTATTAAAGACTGTCATCCTCAAAGATCCTTAAGAGGCACTTATGGAGAATTTAATCATCTCTGTTTGCACTTAAACTGTTGTGATGTGTGGAGACTAAAAAATCCACATCAAATCCAGTTCACTTGGAACAACAAAGATTTATCTAAGAGATCCAGGATTGATTTTTGGCTTATTTCAAATGATTTATTAGATAGTGTGGAAGAAACAAAAGTAGAACCCTCGGTTTTTTCTGATCATAATATGATCACTTATGCATAAGGCATAAGGAATAGATCAATTAAATTTAAACCAAATTATTGGAAATTAAATAATACACTTTTGAATTATTCATTATTCAAGGAAAAAGCCATACAAATTATAAATGAAAATTTGTCAAAAGCCAAAAAAGATCAAATATATGGCAAACATTGGGACTATACAAAATTTCAGATCCGTAATATGGCCATCAAAAGGGGAAAATAATTATCTAAGGAAAAAAGAATGAGACAAGACCGAATACTTAAGGAAATAATTTTTATTTATGAAAAGGACGAGCAAACGCAATCTGATATTAATATGTTAATTGAATTACAATCTGAATTGGATAATATCTATCAAAATTTGGCACGGGGAGCCTTCATTCGTTCTAGACGGAAATGGATAGAACATGGTGAAAGGAATACCAAATATTTTCATAATTTAGAACAAAGAAATGTTAGTGTTAATAATATACTGTATATAAACTTAAAAGCAAAGAACTCGGAATTCCTCAAAACAAAGAAGTTAAAGTTTGGCGAAGACTTGCCCACAAAAGACAAAGAGACACGTATTAAACTGTGGCCACAAATTGAAGAGGCACGAAAGCAAGGAAAAAAAGCTTTTTTTGTTGGAGCCAGAGGCATCATTGATGGTAAAGAAATAAGAATGTAATGCTGGAAAAGCCCTGATATGTCGTTAAGGAGAAGAATGATGGTTAATTTTGTATGTCTTTCGTTAAGAAATTTAATTTTATTCTAAATTGCGTCTAGTGACGTGCTAGGTCATACAGTAGGTCTTTACCTAAACTTTGAATTTCGAAAGACCAGAGAGTTATAATCCAATGTTTGCTTGTTAAATACTTTGCACTCAAAAGGTGTAGAAAATAATTTTGTTTCTTTGTTACCTAAAACCTACATTTTTTGTTAACTTCTTGTTCTACTTTGCACTTTGTCTTTTTCCTTGTATTCACTTAATGTGAGGGGTATACGAGAACAGATTAAGAGGAAAGCTGTATTTTTGTTTTGTAAATCTTTCAAGGCAGATTTTAATTTTTTACAATAAACACATGCTTTAGCCTCAGATTTGAATTTCTGGAAAAATCAGTGGGGAGACAATATATGGATGTCTTATGGAAACAGTAAATCAGCGGGTGTTGCTATATTAAAGGGCTCCTTTCAGGGGGAAATCCTACAAAATTTAATTCATGACTCAGGAAGATGGATAATTTTAGTTGTTGAATTTATGGAGGATATTTTTATTTTAGGTAATATATATGGTCATAATAACAGCCAAAGAAACACACTTCTTTTTGCTGAATTTGAAGAAAAAATAAATGCCTTATTAAATTCTTTTGTTAATGCTAAACTAATATTTGGGGGTGATTGGAACTGCATAAATTACCCTATTAAAGACTGTCATCCTCAAAGATCCTAAAGAGGCATTTATGGAGAATTTAATAATCTCTTGTTTGCACTTAAACTGTTGTGATGTGTGGAGACTAAAAAATCCACATCAAATCCAGTTCACTTGGAACAACAAAGATTTATCTAAGAGATCCAGGATTGATTTTTGGCTTATTTCAAATGATTTATTAGATAGTGTGGAAGAAACAAAAGTAGAACCCTCGGTTTTTTCTGATCATAATATGATCACTTTAGTAATCTGCATAAGGAATAGATCAATTAAATTTAAACCAAATTATTGGAAATTAAATAATACACTTTTGAGTGATGAATTATTCAAAGAAAAAGCCATACAAATTATAAATGAAAATTTGTCAAAAGCCAAAAAAGATCAAATATATGGCAAACATTGGGACTATACAAAATTTCAGATCCGTAATATGGCCATCAAAAGGGGAAAATAATTATCTAAGGAAAAAAGAATGAGACAAGACCGAATACTTAAGGAAATAATTTTTATTTATGAAAAGGACGAGCAAACGCAATCTGATATTAATATGTTAATTGAATTACAATCTGAATTGGATAATATCTATCAAAATTTGGCACGGGGAGCCTTCATTCGTTCTAGACGGAAATGGATAGAACATGGTGAAAGGAATACCAAATATTTTCATAATTTAGAAAAAATAAATGTTAGTGTTAATAATATATATAAACTTAAAATGAATGAGCAGATATCCGAAGATCCTAAACTGATTTTTGATTTTGTGGAAGAATTCTATAAAAAAACAAAGCAGCCATAGATCAAATTTTCTTTCTCAAATGTTGCATGTTGCACAAGGTATTGACGAAACACAAAAAATAAATATGTTAAATATAAGAACAAATCAATTTTCTATACTAATTGGGTTAAAAATGGTATTCTAATGGTCTCACAGTTGATAAATAATGAAGGATATTTACTTACATATACTGAATTTTTAGAGAAATTTGGTATTCCAATACCTCCGCGTGAATATAGTATTGTAATTGATGCAATATCAGCAGGATTTCTGAGGCTTTTAAAGGGATTTAGTGAATCTAAGCAATCAACATTTAAAAAAGAGATCTTATTAAACGGTATTGATATCAAAGACAGAAAATGTAATAATACAACACAACACACAAGTCAACTTAATCAAACACAGAGTGTCAAACCAAATCCACCACATCACCCTTTTTTTTTTTAACAAACTCAGACATGGCTCTTACATTCAAACTGCTGCACTCAAATCTCCCCATATACATATTCAAGTCTATCAATCAGTAACTTTGACTTAACATTTAACTCACTAAACACCATACCATATATTTACTCAATAGTGGCCACTATGAACATTAGTAGTCCATTCAAATTACTTTGAGAATCCTTTGATCCTTTTGTTACAGATGTACATTTTCTCTCGCCTTTTTTTTTTTTTACATGTCCAGAACATAATCATTATATCGAGTTGGCTGTATTACTGCTCTACCACTTCTAGTATGGCGTGTTGGATGCTCATCCACTCTCGCCGGAGAATTCCTAGATGATTGGTCAGCTGGTCTGGGTGTTTGAGTGCATATTTCATCCGAAAGTTCATCAGGATCAACACCTTTGCACAGACTCTGATGTATCTTTCTCAAGTGCCGTCTGTTTCTCCTGAATGCCTTTCCTGCTGGCGTTTTGTGAGGTATGATTATCTTGTCTCCTACCATTACAATGCCGTTCTGCACACTAATTTTGTGTCGCATAGGCCAGTAGCTGTGTAGGTTGCTGTTTACGCTGCGTCTTTTCTGTGGCCAGCCAGTCTCTACCTTTTCATACAGATCTTGCAACACTCGGTCTGCTGCAGTGGCCTCTTTCAACTGTTGAAGTGTGTGTGGACCCATTGCATCCGTGGCCTCCAAGCCATGCACAACTTTCTCATCATAGAGGTCTCCACCTTCATCAGTCTCTCTACTTACGGTTGCACGGGATAGCGTATCAGCAATATGCATGTGCTTGCCTGGTGTATATGCAATGTTCAGTTCATACTTTTGCAGCTGTAGGAGCATTCGCTGCAATCGTGCAGGGGCCTTGCACAGCTGTTTCTGCATGATGTTCTCGAGGGGCTTATGATCTGATTGCACCATCACTGCCTTGCATATATGTACTGATGAAACTTCCTTGCTGCAAAGAATATGGCGAGTAACTTTTTCTCTATTTGAGCATATCTTTGCTCAGTGTCAGTGAGTGCTCGTGATGCATAACACGCAGGGTGGCCCTCTTGCAGAAGACAAGCTCCCAAGCCATCTTTCAATGAGTCTGCCTGTATTGTTAGTGTTTTTTTGTGATCATAGAACCTCAGCACAGGTGCTCGTGTGAGAGCGGACTTCAAACTCTCTAAAGCAGTGCTATGATGGGGATTCCACTGCCATGCAGCAGCTGTCTTAGGGGCGCTGTGAGCGAAGCTTCATTCGGGATGTACTGCGCTAAATACTTAGTCATACCAAGTAGACGTTGTAGGCCTTGTTTATCCTCTAGGGGTGGCATGTCTATGATCGCCCTCACCCTTGCCTCGTCAGGTCGCAATCCGTCTGGTGTTACAATGTGTCCCATGTATTTCACAGTATTGACCTTGAACTGGATCTTATCACTATTAAATCTCACCTTGGCCGCTCTTGCTCTCTCCATGATCTTATCAAGGATTTCATCATGCTCCTGCACCGATGAGGCAGCAATGATCATGTCATCAGCAATGTTGTGTACTCCTTGTATGTCACCAAAAGTCTCGCAGTTTTTCTGCTGAAACACCTCACTTACTGACTTGATGCCAAATGGGAGTCTCAGAAAACGATATCTGCCCCAAGGTGAGTTGAAAGTGCATAGTTTTGAGGACGGCTCATCCAACTTAATTTGCCAGTAACTGTCTTTTCGTCGAGAATGGTAAAGATAGACTTTCCAGCCAGACTGCTACACACATCTTCAGTGGGAATGGAATAGTGCTGGCGTTTTATGGCTTTGTTCAGATCACGAGGGTCCAAACATACCCTCAGTGAACCGTTCTTCTTTTCTGTGATAACGAGGCTGTTTACCCATTCTGTGGGCTCAGTTACAGGGGATATAACACCTCTATGCACAAGATCTCGAAGTGTTTCTTTCAACTTGTCACAAACAAATAGTGGAATATTTCTGCATCCATGGATTACAGGCGTGACTGTTGGGTCAACATATATATGATGAACTCCTGGGAACTCACCTAGCCCTGTGAAGACTGATGGATACATGTTGACCAACTCTTCTTTGGTTGACGCAGACTTTTTTGCAAGCAGTTCAATCCTTTTCACCAGCTGTAGTTGCTCACATGCTGCTCTGCTGAGAATTGGTAGCACATTTGCCTCTGCACCTGTGTCTAGTTTGAATATTATCTCTACGCCTCGGATGGTGGCTGTTGTGTACCACACACTGTCTTTCGTGTGTTCCATCTCATGCACTTGAGCATGTGTTAGTGTGCCAATGTACATGGACTCCGTTTCACTCTTTATGCTGTGCACAGTTTTTGCTCTGCTATCGTTGCGAATGACTGCATGGCATACCTTGGAGAAATGGTTATTTTTGCCGCACTTATGGCATACTGCTCCGAAGGCTGGGCATTGGCGTGGCTCATGGCTCTTTCCACATCTGCGACAGTTTCGTGTAATTGGCTTCTTGTTGCTCTTACTTCTTGCACCTGGGTTTCTATATTCTGTCGCTTTTTCTATAGCATTTACTTGAGAGTCTTCGACAACTGCAGCATTTTGCATGGCCTCTCTCTGTGTTTTGGCTAGCTCAGTTGCTCTGCATACTTCGATAGCTCTGTGTAATGACAATTTTTGAAAATCAAATCTGTGAATGCATGTTGTAAATTAATTTTGTCACATAAAAATTGTGATAAAACCAGTGATAAAGTCATGGAAAATTTATACTGTTTAAAGATACTTAAAAAAAAAACAAAATTAGTTAGTTCTGTCCTCGTTAATGTGCCTTAGATGTAACAAACTTTGATGAAAAACATGCATGAGAGGCATTTACAAGAGAATATCTGAGTTACTTTTTCAAATAATTAACGCAAATTACTTTTTTTTCCAATTTATTGATTGACAGCTCTCCTGTCCCCTGGTTGAGAGAAATCAGATGTTACTGTAGTTCTAAAATAAATATGAATATAAAATATCTTGTTGCTCTTACTTCTTGCACCTGGTTTTTTATATTCTGTCGTTTTTTCTATAGCATTTACTTGAGAGTCTTGGACAACTGCAGCATTTTGCATGGCCTCTATCTGTGTTTTGGCTAGCTCAGTTGCTCTGCACACTTCGATAGCTCTGTGCAATGACATGTCATTTTCGCGAAGTAATCTTTCTTTGAGAGAAGGGTTTGTTATACTAAACACCAGCTTATCTCTGAGCATGTCATTCTCACTTGGGCCAAACTCACAGTCTTTGCTTTTTTGTCTCAGCTCTGTGATGAATCTGTCCACTGTAATGCCATCTGCCATGGGATGAGACCAGAATTGGTGCCTCTCAAACACGTTTTTTTGTGGGCTGCAGTAGTCTCTGAATGCTGTGAGCACGTCTTCCATCGTCTCGTTCTCTTCATCAACTAAATTGATGGCGAGTGTATTATACACCTCCAACGCCTCTTCTCCAATGGTGTGTAGCAGAATGGCTATTTTGACTGGCTCTTTTTTAGCACTCGCGCCTGTTGCAGTCATATACAGACGAAAACGTTGCTCCCATCTGCGCCAATTTTCTGCTAAATTGCCCATTAGCACTAGTGACGAGGGTGGCTTGAATTGTTCCATGTTCGTCTGCCGAGATCGAAATTTTCTGGCGAGCTAAACAGTTCATATCAACAAAACTGTTTGCGGTACTCACTGTCCTGTTACTTCTGACACCATGTTGTGTTCTTGTGTCCTTTATCTGTTTGTCCGAATGGTGCGTGGTTTATTTCTATGTCTAATAAACACACTGTGAGACGTGAGCTGTAAGCTGCTTCTTTTACTGCCTCTCGTTCATCACACCAATACATTGCTTAGACTTGAGCAATCAACCGATGATCAGTATGACACACAAGTCAACTTAATCAAACACAGAGTTGCTGAAGTGTGTTGAAATGTCTTCTTCTGCATTCTACTGTACGGACGTAAATTTACTTTCCTTTCAGCCTCCCTTCATTTCACTTTTGGTGTGAAAAGGCTTTAATATTTGCCAAAAATAGACCTTTTTTTATTTTAAAAACAAACAAGCAAGCCCTGTCCAGATTTAAAAAGTAACTCAAAACTAACGTAACGCATTCATTTCCATAAAAAGTTACTTAACTAGTTACTTTTTTTATGGAATGGGATGAGACCAGAATTGGTGCCTCTCAAACACTACGTTTTTTTGTGGGCTGCAATAGTCTCTGAATGCTATGAGCATGTCTTCCATCGTCTCATTCTCTTCATCAACTAAATTGACGGCGAGTGTATTATACACCTCCAACGCCTCTTCTCCAATGGTGTGTAGCAGAATGGCTATTTTGACTGGCTCTTGTTTAGCACTCGCTCCTGTTGCAGTCATATATAGACAAAAATGTTGCTCCCATCTGCGCCAATTTTCTGCTAAATTGCCCGTTAGCACTAGTGACGAGGGTGGCTTGAAAAACATCCCAGAGCGATTATCGGCCGATAGTGATCAGTAGCCGATCAATCGGAGCTCCATAAAAAGTTACTTAACTAGTTACTTTTTTTATGGAGTAACGCAATATTGTAATGCATTACATTTAAAAGTAACTTTTTCCATTATATATATATATATATATATATAATTTCAGGTAACGTTTATTTCAAATATTTAAAATGTTTTGTTATGGTTTTAGTTTTAGATAACGATAACCCTGCTCCCAAATATAATGTTAATAGTGATTTGTGAATGCATTTGTGCAACTGGTATTCAGATCTTCTTTCTCCTTTTAATAAATAACCAAAGACTAACAAATTGAAGTAAATGAAAAGGCCACAAGGAGGAATTTCTCATTGTAAAGACTAACATAAAAACAGTGTAATCAATGAAGCATAAAAGCTAAATGTGCAACCATTAGCGAAAGGGTTAGAGAAGAGAAAAAAGCGGGTTTTTTTTTTTTTTTTACAATCAGCTTAATGATTATTTGACAGTTTTGAAGGATTTGGTTTTATAAAAAAAAAAGAACTTTAATCCCAAGTCTGATACGAGTCTATTCGCCCTTGACCTGCCCATCAGAGGCTTTTGCTTTGTCTCTCGGCACTCTACCCAAGTTGTAAAACTCTTCGTTAGGTCTCATGTCAGTCAGATGGGCCATCCGGTTGGAGAGGGCAAAGAAGGCAGCAATGGCAGCAATGTCCCAAATATCCTCTCGGTCAAATCCATGAGCCTCTAGGGTGCTGAAATGTTCCTCAGTTACTGTTTTACTCCTGCAGACTGTCAGAGCAAAGTCCAGCATGGCTTTCTCACGAGCGCTCAGCTCCGCAACCCTGTAATTTACTGCAACCTGTGCGACAAGACAGTACCAGTAAAATCAATTAGAAGCCTACTCATATTATTTATAGTATTCTTGCAAAATTGAGACTGAGCGGGTGTTAAACAGTTTTACAATGTTTTGTTAAATTTGTAGGTACCTGATCAGCCAGCATGGGTTTTTTGGAATAGATGCGGTGCAGTGCACTGTGGGATACCACGCAATACAAGCAGTGATTGTCTTGTGTTTTCATTTTGTTTATTACGTTTAATAAATGTTTTAATTTGTTAAAAATGTTTTAATTTGAACATATGTACATATTAGCAATGTAAAATGTTTTTTTTTTCTTTCAACAAACCTTCAGTAGACAACATGGAAATTTCACCTGATAAATTCAGCCCAGTATTTACAGACTGACATTTAAAATCCTATCAAACAGTGTTCAAAGTACATTTTCAGAGAAAATACTTATTTATTAACCTCTAAAATTATAATCTCTTGAAAACAGACTAATAGATTTCACATTTTATATTCAAGTTTGGCTTTGACCTGTCCTTCCTTCCACATATTAAAGTGACGTTTCCAGCTCATGACAACACAAATCATTTCAAATACAGCATGGCTTCTTTAAAAATATTTCATAATAAATTATAAAGTAGATGATTATCTTATTGTCTTCACAACCCGTGTTATTTATTTTACTATAACTGAGATTTGTTAATATTTTCAATTTCATTTTGCTATATTTTGTTTTTGTTTTAATTTTAATTAAAGTTTTTTTTAAGTTTCATTTTTGTTATTGTTAGTTTGTGTTCTTTTTAAATATGAATATATAGTTTTTATTCAGTTTAGTTTTTAGCTTTAGGTAATTTAGTTTAAGTTACTTGACTTCAATACTTCAAGTTAAACTAAACGAAAATAAGAAAGTTTTATATATAAGCTCCGCAACCCTGTAATTAACTGCAACCTGCGCGACAAAACAGTACCAGTAAATCCACTCATATTATTTATAATATTCTTGGAATATCGAGTCTGAGAGGGTGTTGAACAGTTTTACATTATGTTTTGTGAAATTTTTACTCGGTACCTGATCAGCCAGCACGGGTTTTTTGGAATAGATGCGGTGCAATGCACTGTGGGATACCACGCAATACAAGCAGTGATTGTGAGCACTGGTCGCAACAACAATCAGTTCCCGATCCGCTTTTGTCAGACCACCTGTTACGAAAGTAAAATAAACTTGCATCACGTCCTGACTTCTTAAAAGCATTAAAATATCTACATTTCACATCAAAAAGTAAAAAAATAAATGTAAAACATATGATTTGTATGAATGAAATAATGTGCAGACTGTAGGTCTCCTAACTAGTCACCATGTCTTACTATTTTTGCCCATTTTTAATCACCCTTCTTTTTTTTTTTTAAATACAAATATTCAGTGTGGTTTCTAATTATGTTTATAAAATAACTACTACAATCTTGTTTAATGGATAAACTACAGGACATGACCGTTTCCAGAATGATTTCCCATAATCTAACCCTAATTCCTCAAACAAAAACCTGATTCATATCTCGCTCCAGTTGCAAACTAATTAAAAACAGATTGATATGCGTATAGATGTGGATTCATAGAAAAAAGATGCTACTAGCTACCATAAAGCATGAATAAAAGGTCATACCACTTTCCTAGAACCTTGAAGACATTGGGCAAAAACCCTCCCTGTAGATGAACACGCACATCTTCTATTAGTAGTGACATATGAGACAAATATCTTCATATTTTCAGTTCCACAGAAGAATGAAAGCCATATGGGTTTAAAATGATATGTGGTGAGTAAATAATGGCAAACTTCTCATTTTGGGGTGAGCTAACTCTTTGTGAATGTGATGCCAAACCTTCTGTTCGACCTCCTCCATCAGCTCCACAAGATCAAATGGCAGGTCCTTCTTGTTTGGCACTGGATACCGGCTGATGCCCTCTGACCTGCTGCTGTGTCTTGTGTGAGCAGCTGCTGTTTTCAGACAAACTCTGCTTGCTGGGGAAGGTGAGTACTGCAAAGGAAAGGGCTTGTTAAGTATTTTTACATGCATTACATCATTTCATACTAATAAACAACACAAAGTCATTTTCCAAGTTCAATAATTCAGAGCGATACATTTGTCATGATTACAGTGCAGTGATTTTAAGTGAAATATACAGGTGCAGGTATGTTTTCTTGCGCGACATTAGATTGATTTACTGTCTCTTTAAAGGTCCCATGGCATGAAAATTTCACACGGACGTAAATGTACTTTCCCTTCAGCCTGAGGCTTATTCATTTCACTTTTGGTGTGAAAAGGCTTTAATATTTGCCAAAAATAGACCTTTTTTATTTTAAAAACAAACAAGCAAGCCCTGTCCAGATTTAAAAAGTAACGCAAAAGTAACGCAACGCATTACTTTCCATAAAAAGTAACCAAGTAACGTAATTCGTTACTTTTTTATGGAGTAACGCAATATTGTAATTCATTACTTTTAAAAGTAACTTTCCCCAACACTGAATACGACACAGTTCAGAATACTAATTTATTTTAAAACCTTACCAATAACCCAAATTTAGATCGGTGAATAATCTTCAGAATGCCTCGTAACGACATTTTTACACTTTATCCTGTGATGTCGTGCTCTGTGTTCCGTGTGTTTATTTTGGGGATGAGGACTGGACAGAGGCTTTAGGATCATGTGCTCTAAAGGGCAGCCAATCAGCGAGTCGTATTCTGCCACGCCTCATGAACATTCGACCAATGAAACCATCCTACGGACTTACATTTAACTTCCTGTTTACAATGCTGAAGGAAATGAAGCAAGGCATAACAAGAGACATCACGGAAGCTCAGCGCCAAAGTAAAAGTGTGTTTATGCGCGTGAAAGAGAGAGAGGGACAGAGAGAGGAAAGATAAAAAAGCAACATTTTAAAAACAAAAATATTAAATTGTAAAAAACATAGAAATAAATTGTATAAAATATTACATTGTCAATAAAATATTGCAATTTTGTTATTTGATTAATATTTGAAAATATAAATTTAGAATATAATTATATTAATCAAACTTTGAAATAAATGAATATTTGAACATATATAATATATATGAACGTTATTATGGGATGCTGGAGAATTCAGTTGCTTAATTGCTAGAGCCGATCACAATAACACTATCCTAATAATAATAATAATAATTATTATTATTATATATGTTTCTTATATCTTATGTTCCTTTTGTTCTTTAATATTTTGAATTGTTTTTATCTTTAATTGTTTTAATACTACAATTGATTGGTTCTGTTGTCCTCATTGGTAAGTCGCTTTGGATAAAAGCCTCTAATAAATGACTAAATAAATAAATAAAATGTGTATATACATACATACATCAAACATAATATATATATATATATGTGTGTTCGCTAGTGATAAAAGGCGAATTCCTCAAACGGTTGCACAGGGACCTTTATTTTGAAGTTCTCTATATCTGCATACGCGCTCATCCAGAACTGAATGTATATTTTTTCTAATAAACGCATAATAATCTGATTATGGGTGGGTACGGGGTGATGGCAGATGGCGAGTCTCTGGATTATTCAGTGCACGAAGCCTGGAACGAGGCCACTAATGTTTACCTGCTGGTGATTTTGGTCAGCTTCGCCCTGCTTATGTACGCCAGAAAGTAAGCGTGCATTTCATTTCACATTCATTCATCACAAGACCACAATTAAACCTGTGAACATGATCACAGTAACATGTGAACGCTGTTGATGACAGTAGCTTGTAATCTGTCCTGTAATGGTAGCCACGAATATCTTTTGTTTTGTTTTCATTTAGAAATAAGAGGAAGATTATGCGTATATTCACTCTGCCGCCAACAGTGGCCAGCTCCTCAGAGCCCAGTTTCTACGACAGTCTGCAGAAAGTCCGGCTGAGACAACAGCTGGAGATGTATTCATTGGGTGGGTTGAGCTCATTTTTCTCCTTGTGCTTTGGAAAGTTTACCATGGCAGCTATAGTTTCTCTCAAAACCCCGAAATCTGTACACTTATTGTTGGTAAATACAACTGTGAATTATATGACTAAATAACAACAACAACAACAACAATAATAAATAAACCACAGAAAGATTCTGAAAGCTTCTGTTTGAAGGACATAACATGTTAAATTATTGTTATTTTAAAATACCATTTTTTGTGTGGTACTACATTGTGATATTAGACAAGGTTGCCACTACTCAATAAAACAAACCACTATCATTATACATATTAAAGTATTTTTACTTTAGTTTGGAATAAATAGAATCTCTTTCAAGTTTTTTTTTGAAATACCTCTCTTATGCTCACAAGCTTGCATATATTTGATCAGAAATAGAGAAAAAAACAGTAATATTGTGAAATATTATAAAAAAAAACGTGAATAATTGTTTATTCTTGTATTTTCAGCAGCATTACTCCAGTCTTCAGTGTCACATGATCCTTCAGAAATCATTCTGATACGCTGATTTGCTGCTGAAGAAATGTTTTTTATTATTATCAATGCTGAAAACATTTGTGCTGTTTTATATTTTTGTGGAAACTGTGATACACTACCATTCATAAGTTTGGTGTACAATTTAAAAGAAAGAAATTGAGACTTTTATTCAGCAAGGATATGTTAAATGGATGTGCGTTGAGGTAATAAGAACCATTATTATTAATAAATTGAGCAGCAAATCAGCATATTAGAATCATGTGACACTGAAGACTAGAGTAATGATGCTGAAAATTCAGCTTTGATCACAGGAATAACTTACATTTGAAAAAATATTACAATTGTATCGCATCGACTTTGGTGAATGAGACTTTTCAAACACGTATTGACACTGAAGACTAGAGTAATGATGCTGAAAATTCAGCTTTGATCACAGGAATAACTTACATTTGAAAAAATATTACAATTGGATGCGACTTTGGTGAATGAGACTTTTCAAACACGTATTAAAATCGTAATTATTCCAAACTCGCTACATTTTTACTACATTTGTTTATCATGTACACGTGTTTTACATTTCAGTACATTTCTGTGATGTTTTAAACATCCTGCTGTTTCAAGATGTGTCCATGCTGAAGTTATCCAGCTGCATAACAGATGAAGTTTGGTCAAAATTGTCAAAATTCTTTGGAAACTATGTTAGATAATCGGTCAATCTGTACAAAACGTTTTTTTTTTTTAACAAAAAAAATGTAGATGTCACGTAAGGATCTTGAAGAAAATATCATGGTAGTTTCGTAAGGTTGTAATCGGGATCTTTTCAAATCCTTGTTTTGTGCTCTTTTTCCAGCTCGTAAATATGATCAGCAGCAGCAGTCGGATAGTGTGCAGCTGTCAATGGAGTGAGCTCACCAGAGGAGGCGCTCTTCACCCACTATTGCTGCAGAGAAGCGGGTTGCTGGAGAATTCATGTACTGGGGACAAATTGCTGAATGTTATTTTTATTTGAAGAGCCTTTCTTTTTATTCTCATCAGTCACACCTCTCAAACATTCAGAAGTCGGCATTTTTAGAACTTGTGATATGATTTTCCTTCGAGGGCATGGGTGGACTGTGAAACAGACTGCCCTCTGGTGTTGGAAGTGAAATATTAGGGCTGATTAATAAATCTTTATTTTTAAAGGAATAATCACATCTGTTTTCTTTTTAATTTTAACAGTAAACCTCTGTTGTGCAGCACTTTGTTTGCCAAAAAATAAAAGGGTTTAATTTTTATTTGATTAGGATAAATTAAATTAATGTTTTATGCCTTCATCTGATTAGCAGAAAAATTTTATAGGGCCCTATTATTGTTTAAAAAAGGACCCATACAAAAAAAAGTATAGGTTTCAAATACAGGCATGTGGTTCTTAATTTCTTTTTATTAATTCACCATTTGTAAACTGATGTTTACTGTTAATTTTTTAGAAATATCAATAGCATTTGTATTAAAAATATATTCACTGAATGTAATAAATCGAGAATCGAATCGAGAGCTTGCGAATCGAAATCGAATCGAATCGGGACATCTGAATCGGTACCCAGCCCTATGAAATATGTTGTATAATATCCCTGTTTCATATGTCTGACAAACGCATTACTTGTACACATCATCTGTGTGTCGTAAGGTTGATCACTGTTTGGGATCTGCATCCAAACATTTTACCTCTCCTCAAAAACGTTGTTACAATATGCTACTTAAGGTTTGCAAAGTAAAGATACGTTTCAAGTTTTCAAGTAAAAAAAATACTGTACACTGATTATGTTGTGCTTGCTAGGTACCTTTTCTCCAATGTCTTATATTGCCCTCTAGTGCTAGATTACATGTATGTCAGTTGTTTTAGGCTGACCTGCAGGCTGTAAAATATGAATCTGCTTAAAATAAAGAATTGTCACATTAAAACATATCGCCGAGTCTTAATTTGGAAAGTGACTGCATTCAATACCTGGTAAGACAAGCATCACTATTACTATTTCTCATATTCAGGGTTTGTGAACGCCTAATGCTAAGTATAAACGTCAACTCATCTTTTGTGCTCGCAAACAAGTGATACATAAAATTTTGCAGCTTTTTGAGAAAGGCTGTACTATTTCTTTTGTAAACAATGGACTTTATGCACACTGAATGCATATGGATCTTAACTAAAATCTTACTCTGCGTCCAAAATCGAATATTTCCCTACTATATAGTATGCAAAAAACACAGTATCCATAGCAAACTGTGGTAGTAAGAAAGCACTTCCTGTCATATTTCTAATAACCGTCGATCACAAATAATTATAATATGGTATATTAAATACATGATTAACTATAGTAAATATAACGTTTTAGTAATGAGTTCCAGAAGCTTTAAATACCTTTAGTGTGAAGGTGGATTGTATCAATAATGCTTTGTCCTGTCGTGTAACACTTTTTCTCACAATTTTCACACACCACACTGCACTGGAAGTAGTGAGGACATGCAATAAAATGGGCCAAAAATCCCAGAGATTTACATTTAAGGAAGGATCTGAATCATATTTATAAATCTGAATATCATGGAGCATGGAGGTGGGGAACGTCATATAATTTGGGATATTAAGTAACCACCTAGCAACCACCCAGAACACATTAGCAAACATATAAAATGCTATGGCAAACACCCTTGCATCATGCTGGTAACTCTTGTATGGGCAAGCACCACTCACTTTCTTCAAGTGTTAAAATGTAGTTGTTTTTTTTTCTCACTTCAAAAACATTGGGTGAACAAAGTGCCATAAATGAGTCCAAGTGATACAGAAGTGAGAAATGAAAAACATGGAGTGAGAAATAAAAAGTTAAAAGGTGTGAGAAAGAATCACAATCTTGGCCAGTCTCGCTTTTGTTTTTGCTGCTTTGTTCTAATCGTTTATTTTTTCTTTAATGCCACTCTTCCATCATTCCTTAGCCTCTGATCCGCCGTGGTATCATTTCCCCAGATGAATCACAGAAAGCTAAAGAAATGATGCCTCGCCTCGCCTTAGTCATCTGCCTCCCCCTCCCTCTGCTTCCTCTTGTGCTTTCCCTCAGGTCTCTATGGAAATAAGATGAACAAACTCTTTTCTTCATTGTTTTTCAACCTCCAATAATTCTTATTATCCTAAACCCTGAGAGTCTCATTGCCAACCGTACGCTGTTAGAACACAAAAAGAGAATTTTTGAAGAATCTTCATGCAGCTTTTTCCATATCTGTCAAGCATCAAAAAGATTCATAACAGCAGTCCATATGACTCATGTGCTATATTCCAAGCCTTCTGAAGTCATACAATAGCTTGCGTGAGAAAAAGACTGAAAATCTGACGCTTTTTTTCACAAAAGCTCTAAAATCAAATATGGAATAAGGTGACAGGTTTGACGCCACTGATGTTTGGTCAAAAAACACACAAGAGCCAGTGGTGTTTATTGGTGCCACTGATGTCAAAAAGCACCATATTTGATTTTAATAAAAGTGCATGAGTCATAAGGACTGTTTGATGGAGCTTTTTAATTCTTTTCGACTCTTGACAGACATATAAAAAAGCTGTGGGAAGATTCTTCAAATTCCTCTTTTTGTGTTCCTTATGGGTTTGGAACAACATGAGGGTAAGTGAATAATGACAGAATTTTCATTTTTGAGTGAACTGTTGCTTTAACACTTAAATAACACATTATCCTTGCTTCTGTCTCTCTCTCTTTCCTTGTTTTTGGGTCTCAACCCGTCTATTGTTTAACAAACACAAAGACAACTGAATTCCAGGTATTAACGCATGACATGCATCAACACAAATCTTAAACGTTAGTTCTGCATCCATTTGCAAGCTCAAACCAGAAAAAAATAATCAATAAACCAGAGGAAAAATAAACCAAGGGTTGAGGAGCAACGTCCACGACCGCTGGATTTCAACACGTTCATCAGCGTATGGTTGATGTTTACAGTCTGGGTGTCGTTCTCTGCCCTGTCTCAATCCACTGTGCTGTTCTGAGACCTGTGGCTGCTTGAAGCCCAGACAGATGTAAACATGGCCTGACCGCATGCACTGGCCCCAGGCAAGCAGCTGGCATAAACAGCCTGGAATGTCAGTGTCACGGCCCTGGCTCCCTCTCTCTGGGTTTTTGCACCCAGTTACACTGGCCCACTGCCACAAGGCCCACAAAGCGGTCAATGTTAAACAGAATCACTTTATTTAAAGGCATGACACAAGAAGGTTGTGATCTGCTTATACAACATGCTTATGAATAGTACAAACATTTATAAATGCTGTGAGTCAGCAACATTTGAGTTGAAATAACTGTTTATGAAACCCGCAGCACTCAGAATGTGAATGCATTATGCAGCTTTCTCTTTAGGGTAACATCCAGACCTGTTACTTGGTACAGACGTTGAAATTATTATTTAATGTGGCCGTCCCCTCTGCTTTTTATAAAGTTCAAAAAGCTTCGGACAGCCTCTAGTCTTGCAGGTCATATGTTACATCATATCTAAATTTATATTGCACAGTTCGATCAGATACCTTATCAGTACTAAATTTTAAAGCATGATTGTGATATTATTTTTATACAACAGTTCAATAAACAAGAAATTACATTTTAGACACAATAGTTTTGCTCAGCCAATGAAAATAGTTCCAAACAAACAAACCCACAGCATTATTGCATCTCAGAGCAACACACAGTAGTGGAGTTCATGAATCACTCAGTGGTTTTGAACAAATCCGTTTACTGAATGATTCGATTACTTATTTATAAAGACTGTCAGCTGTTTCATTCATGAACGAATCGGCAGTTTTGAATGAATTGGTGAGTGAATAATTCAATGACTCACTCATAAAGACTGTCCACTGTTTAGTTCATGAACGAATCAGTGGTTTTGAATGAATTAGTGAGTGAATGATTCAATGACTCGCTCATAAAGACTGTTAGCTGGTTCGTTCAGGAATGAATCGCCATTTTAAAAAAAACTGGTTGAGTGAATGATTCAATGACTCACTCATAAAGACTGTCCGCTTTTTAGTTCATGAACGAATCAGTGTTTCATTTAGGAATGAAGCGGCATTATCGAACAAACTGGTTGAACAAATGAATCAATGACTCACTCATATAAGAGAGCCACTTGCTACCACCTATTGGCATAAAAATGTAACCTGCACTAACAAACTGCAAATTTTCTTGGGCAAAATCCAGTCATTTCAATAGGAATCCATGCTATAAGGAATTTTGCGTGAGGGTGAAATATTTTCCCACACAGATTTCACAACGGGTTTGTCAGACTCTGTTCCTTGTTTTGTGTGTGTTTTGCTCCCCATGTGCCTTCCTTGCCCTTATTTGGTCCTTCCTGTTCCTGTCCCCATTTAGTTCTATTAGTTCCAGGTGTTCCTTGTTATTAGTTATTCTCCTCACCTGTCTGCCCCTCGTTATCTGCCCTATTTGTGTTCTAGTCCGTTCTGTTCTTCCTTCATCTGGAATTGTATATGTCTATCCTTGCTACGTGTGTTTTCCTTGTTCTCTGGAAGTTCATAAAAATCTATATGTTTGAATTCCACTCCTCGTCTCCGTGCTCCTCACAGTAGCGAAACGTTACAGGGTTCAAGTTCGTCACAAATTTGCAGCATTAATCAGCAAAAAGATGCTTGGTTTAAAGGCAGGGTAGATGATTTGATTCAAAAACTGTTTTTGTTATGCTGGTTGAAAGTCTCTTCACATCCTGATAGCAATCACTAAGTGTCTAAATGTATTTATATTTATTTCTATCGTCTGTGGAAGGTGTAGGACCATACAATTTTCGTCCAATCATATCCCTTGGTCCGAGGGCTACGATAAGCTGTCCTACCTGCCTGTCAATGTATGTATTTGCATACCCTTGCATACCTTGTAGCCTCTCTGAAATCGCCTACCCTACCTTTAACGAGATTTTTTTGTACGAAATTGTAAGATTTTTAGAAAAAGAAAGCATGAAGTTCCAGTCCTAAACCTAACCCTCTGTGAGGCGTAAGCAGACAAACACACAATGATTTACACAATGGCTAAATAGCTATTTGACTATTAGCTAACATTCATCAGTAGCCCACACAGCTTATATGACAGTAAAGATCAAGGTATCAATTTTACTTTTGTAATATGTTATAT